CGCCCTTCAGAGCAGGAGACTCGCCTCTGGCAAGCTTGCGGGGCTGCCCGCCATCGTCAGCGTCCTCAAGCGGTCGCTTTGGAGAGTTGATGTTAGCAACAGGCAGTAAATTTCCAAGGTGTGGCGAATTGATCGGTGGTGGTGATGCCAGACGATGCTCGATCTGCGGCGGCGCAGCTTGCTGGGGCTCTTCAATCGAAGTCATGACCGAAGGCATGACAGGCCTCATCTGCGTCCGCGGCGAGATGATGGGGCGTGCAGTTGTCGGATCAAAGGTCGGACCAGAAAAGCGCTGTGCGAAGCGTTGCAGTTGTGGATCTTCCGGGTAGAGCGTGAGCATGCGTTGCTCCAATTTGGTAATCTGGGCGAGCTCGCCGAACTGTGCCTCATAGTCATGGAAGAACAAGAACAGAGGCTTCGCCCTGTGCACATTCTCCGGCTTTGAGGTGACCTTTCCCACTACAGTCTCGAAGACAGCACGTGCATCTACAAACATTAGCATAGCACAGCTAGCGTGAAGAGGAAATATACTCACTTGTTGAATCATTTAGCTTGATCAAGTGCTTGATGTACTCCAATGCAAAGTGCTCGTCCTCAGGGAAGAGCTTCATTCCACGCTCGAAAATCTTGTTGGCAGCCGGGTCCTGGTAACAGTGGTGCTCGATCAGGGCGCTTGCAACATAGGCCTCACTAAGCAGCTTGCCCCTCTTACGTGCTTCAGCGAAGACGCTGCGGAATCCCCCAACTTCTGCACCAGGTGAGCCTTTGCCTTGTACGCGTCGCATAGCCCGCATCAAAGCAATCCATGCATAGGTCAACGTCTTCTTAAGAATATGTGTCTGTGCATTGTAGCCCGCCGAAATGGCCTGCAGTTGACCATTGAAGGCCAACTCCTTCTCTTGTAGCCGCTTGGTCAACTCGTCATCATCTTCGTCATCGCCATTGTCGCCGTTGCTCTGTGCGATCGCACGAGCAGCCTCGTCGGCTTTTTTCTGAGCCTCGAACGCCTCCTTTGCCCGAGCAATGGAATGCTCCTCTCGCTTCTTGGTCTGCGCAGTCAAGTCATAGATGGTGTCCAGCAATTTGATGTACGGCTCACGCACAGCCTTGCCTTTAGCGATCAACCCTGGCTGACCATCCTCGAAGTCGGTCCGCAGCTCAACCTGACCGGCCTTGCGAAATGCTAACAAGCAGCTCTCTGGGTTGGCTTCGATGCCGTCGCTTAGGAACTTGTCTCCCTCCTGTTGCAGGCTGCTCTCAAAGCACCACTCAGCTGCATCATACCACAACTCAGGCCAAAAGCGCAGCGACATGAGAGCGCTTTTGTATATGTGGAGGACACGCTTGTTGTACAGTGGTCTGTCGTCGGTTGCCACTTCGACGGGATCACTCTTTTCCCATTGTATCCAGTTCTTCCAGAGCTTGACTTGGTTCATGTAGTCATCGTGTCCATCGAAACCGGGTGCGGGTGGTAGCCGCGGGAGTGTGGTCCGGTTGACGCCGCGCATGATATTGTTATCAAGAACATTGATAGCACTTCGGGCGGTCATGTAGGAAGGTGATTTTTCTTGGAGATGCTTGCGGCCCTATGAGGTTGTTAGTACTGCGCGACTATACTGTATTGCGACGCTTACCGAGACCTTGTTCATACCCAGCTCAAACTTGTCATATTCGCGCCAGATCTCCAGTGTCGCATTGTGGGGAATAGAGACAGCGCGCTGATAGACTTTCCGCAAGGTGTCCATCTTCTGCATGTCTTGCCAGTTAGTACCACCGACAATGCCAGGACCGCTCTTCAGCATCTCGAGATAGTCGAGCCATAGTCGGCCAGCATTTACATCAATGCCGACTTGATCTAGTACGAACTCGTAGGCCTGTGTGATGATCTGTCGGTTTTGACCAGACTGATCAGTAGTCAAGTTGTACCGACGGCGGATGAAGTCGATATAGGACGAGTAAAGTGGGACATATGGAGCAAGCGGAACGGATTTGCCAAACAATACTTCGACTTTCTGCAGCTCATCGAGCTCTGTCTCAAAGGCGATAAACTCAACCCATTGCTCGCCCTAGATATATATTAGCAAGGTCATATGGAACATAGCCAGTGCTGCTTACTGCTGTGGGGAAGACCTTGAAAAAGCGCTCAAAGACTGCCCGTGCGTCGTCAGTCTTGTGTCGTCTACGGTGCTCCTCGATTAGACTGAGCCATGCTTCGATGTCACCACGTGGGTCTTCAGCAATACGATCTTCAAGGATGCCGATGCGGTCCTGCGGAAGACGAGCCTTTGGAAGGGCTGTAGAAGTTGGCACGGGAGTGACTGCTGCAGACTGTCGGCCAGACGCAATGTTCAAGAAATCGGGAGCACCTGGCTTAGTAGCGTCTGGCACAGGCGTACTGCCATTGGGAACAGAAGAAGCAAGAGAAGGAGCAGACTCATTGACAGCGACAGAAGCAGAGAGAAGGGATGAGGCACCCTGATCTTGTGCACTATGTAACTGTACATCTGGTGTGGGAACTGTATTGTTTGGTGTGTTTGTAAATGAACGCTGAGGTGATTCTGCAGGCCCAGTGGCGTTCAGCAGCGCCGAAGCGGCCGTCTTGGGCTGCACGACAGGCTCCTCTTCCTCGTCCTCGCTCTCGTCGACGAAACCACCCCTAGTGCGCGGCTGCTTGGACGGTGTCGGCGCAGCAGAGACCTCGGCAGATACGGGGACAGGATGGGGCTGCAGGCTGTCCGCACCCTCACCATCAGCGGCGAGCTGGGGTGTGTTGCCAGCCGACTCGGGCATCGAGGCAGAGTGCTCTGACGTGGCCTGTGGAGAGTAGCTGTTGGCGGGGTCGTACTCTTCTTCGCCGGCGGGTTCGTATGCGGTCGAAGGATCGTACTCCTTCTGTGCATTGAGGAAAGCGAGCTCGGCGTCGTCCGCCATTGCGATTACGGGGGACTGGGCTGTGAAGGGAGTCAGATGTGGTCGCGCGACAACGAGAAATGTGACTGCTAACGAACGGCACAAAGATGGGCGTGCGGCGGACAATGGGCGTCTTTGTCGCGTGTTCGGCCGGCAAGAGTGAGCGCAGATGCGCGTGCTGGCGGAAGGCGCTCCCGAGGGCCAGGGCAGTGTTGGAAGGTGCAAGATCCGGCGCAAGCAAGTGCTGAGATGTACGCCGTGGTGGTTGCAATGCGCAGGCTCGAGGGTTGACGGGCGAGCTTTGCGGGAGTTTGTCGATGAGGAGATGTTGGTGAGAGCTCAGGCTGCGCTAAGACTTGCTGCTTGGCACCGCGCGCTACCGTGGCTTGGGCGCGCCGATGTCATCGCTCAGGTACCGCCGACTCGACACCATTCACTTCGTACCAAACGCTGCGCGGCGCGTACGTCTGGATTATGCACGCTTCATACACTCAGTGATCTGAGGACACCGCATCTACACAAAAATTCTCGGTCGCGTCATCTCGGTTCTTGATTAGGCCGCGCAACAGCTGCATCGAGCTTACCAGGCGCATTCACAATGAACCCACACATTTCCCTCCCACGGCCGACGGGCGGACCCTCCAACTTCGGCTCTACTACACCGTCATCGCGGCGCAATGAGGTCCGCATGCCGCGCTTCTTCAAGCGACTGTTCAAGTTTCCCCAGATGGACTTTGAGATGGCCATATGGGAGATCATGAGCTTGATCATAGCGCCGAAGAAGGTCTTCAGGCAGATATACTACCATGTATGGCCCCTCTTTTTGGCTATGTCTCCGTCACTGACTTGCTGTACAGAAACAAACAACAAAGACATACCACCGCCCCGACCCCTCCTTCACCTACCTCCTCTGCTTCTTCCTGACACTTACATCCTTCGCCTGGGGCTTCGCATACGCACAAGGCTTCACCCAGACGCTCCACATCACACTCGTCTTCATATTTGGACACTTTCTCCTCCTGTCGTTGCTGACAGCAACGTTGTTCTTCTTCCTCGTCGGACGACTCCTCGGACCAGGAAACTCACTATTGCCTGGGCGGAGAAGAGGGCTGTACAATCTGAACGAGGCAGATGGAGGCAAGGAGGAGCTGGAGTTCGGGTACTGCTGGGACGTTGCTATTCGAGCATTCGTACCCGTTTGGGTGTTCTTGTATGTGGTACAATTCCTATGCATGCCTCTGGTAGGCACAGATCACTGGTAAGTCGATTGCTTCCCAGCAGGGATCATTATACTGATGTTTCTAGGGTCTCTCAACTCCTCTCAAACTCGCTTTATCTCATCGCATTCAATTATTACTTCATCATCACCTTCCTTGGCTACAACGCCCTTCCATTCCTCCACCACACCGAACTCCTGCTCGCGCCAATTGCCGTCACGACCATACTTTGGTTCGCGTCGTTGTTCGGTTTCAACATGTCGAAACACTTTGCGCCGGTGCTATGGGCCGGCGCGCGGTTACGGAAGCGCGTATAAACCCCCGGAGCAGTAGGAGTACATGTACATTATCCACAGTGGAGAAAAGAGCTTGTATAAAAGTCGTGGCGCACTCATCTTCTTTGGCGTATTTGGCGTTTATCAAAGGCCATGATTGTCCCGATCATGGACCGCATGTAGCATTTTAGCGTGCATATAGCATAGTCATTCAAAATGCATTATCAAATGTCATACGAATTCCCAGCGTCGGTACTCTCAGTCACCCTTCGTGTCGTCAATAATCATTATCCAGTATCCAGTTTTCGGACTGAATCCTCACGGGCAAAGAGCACTACATAACCCTCTAGCAGATAATTCACGAGTGCAAGTCTTCAAGCGATCACATGGGCCAGCATCCGCCGCGCGGTCGCAAGGTACGTCACCCAATTGCGGAGACGTATCATGAAAGACTTATCAGTCGTTGACAATACAGTGGTCGATCAAAATCTCGCTCCTTCCTTTTCCGACTCGCATTCATCCCAGCACTCCACGCACCATGCCCGAGTCTGCCTCACGCACTCCAAAAAGAATCACACAAAAAAGGACAAAAGTTGTTCTCTCGGTCCGGGAATTGAACCCGGGTCACCGGCGTCGCAAGTATCTCATCCACAGGTGTGACTGAGATGATTGACAAGCCGGTATACTAACCACTATACTAACCGAGATGAGATTTGTTCGATGGTCGGGTATGAAAGGAAGTGAGATATAATCACTGTCAAAGAGTATCAGAGACAGGATGACAGAAGTGATTGGGCTTTGGCTCAAGTGCGATTGATGAATGAGTGGCAGGAGAGAGGGCTTGTGCAGCACACCTTGGAGTGGGTACAAAATCCGCCATCCAAGATGCTGTGGAGAGAGTGAAGAGTGTGCCGCCAGTGAGCAAGCAGATATGTAAGAGTAACTGTTACTTGTGGCAATGTGAGAGCCAAGTGTTACCAGTGTGGCGTGTAAGTCTTGAGTTTGTACATCTACACATCATACATGTCTATACACGAAATCCGGCATCTATCAACACCCACAATGCGACGCCAATATGCCCTCTACATGTACCCGAGACATCAAGTATAATACATTATCTTACAAGCTCCTCTTCTCAAACTTCTCCTCGTAACACTGAATGCGATCCCCAACCTGGAAGTCTTCCCAGTCTTCGAAACTGATACCGCACTCGGTGTCCTTGCGCATCTGCTCGACGTCCTTCTTTTGAGACTTGAGAGAGCTGATCGTTCCTGAACATGGTGTTAGCATTTGGATTTTTCGAAGCAAGATTTTGAGCTGTTTACGACATACCATCATGAATAACCTGCTCTTTGCGAAGAACACGCGCCTTTGTTCCTCGGTCAACAAGACCATTGCGGACCTTTGATCCAGCAACCTTCAGCTTTTTCCTGCCGCCAAGACTAATCTCAAAGATTGCAGCAATCTCAGCTTCGCCCATGACTTTCTGGATGACCTTCGGTTTCAGCTTCTCGCTCAGGACCTCTTTGACATTCTCAACAACGCGGTAGATGATGTTGCTGTCCAAGATCTTGACGCCTTTCTCCTCTGCCAATTTTGCCACGTGGGCTGGTATCGTAGTGTTGAAGTTGACAATGTGGCCTTGAGCAGCGGCGGCATGCTCTATGTCAAACTCAGACGGCGACCCGACGCCATGGCGCAAAATTCGGGAAGACACTTCTCCGTTACCTAGTGCAGAGACAGAGTCAATGACTGCTTCTACCGAGCCGGACACGTCACCCTTGATGATGAAGCTGACTACTTCCGGACCCTTCTCTTTGGCTTCAACGGCGACTTCGTCCTCGCCATTTGCTGCGGCTTTCTCGGCAGCTTCTTCAGCCTTGCGACGCTCGGATTCTTGACGCCGGGAATCGTTGATTGCGTCCATATCGCGCGCCATCTGCTCTCGGTCTACCTTGTCCATACGCAGCTCAGCAACTGACGTTGCATGTTGCTCATCATTGGCTTGCAGAGCTTCGTCGCCAGCAATCGGTTGATCGCGCCAGCCATCGACTTCCACGGCGATGCCTGGTCCAGCTTCTTCAACGACGACACCAGCTTCATTGCGTAGGGCGCGGACACGCGTCCAGGTTGTGCCTGCGACAAGAACAGTCCCTTGGCGAAGCGTACCAGTGCGAACCAGAACTGTGGCTACGCGGCCGGACTTCTTCGTGGATCCTTCGAGCACCCATCCTTGGACAGAAGCTTTTGGATCCGCGCGGTGATCGAGTAGTTCAGAGAGCGTGGAAATAGCCTCCTCAAGCTCTGGAATTCCTTGCCCAGTCTTGCCACTCACGCAGATTGCTTGGACGTCACCACCGAAATCTTCAATCTCGATGCCGTGACGACCAAGATCCAGCTTGACTGCATCAGGGTCTGCCTGCTGCTTATCAATCTTGTTGATGGCCACAATCATCGGCACCTTGGCTGCTTGGGCGTGCTTGATTGCTTCAATGGTCTGTGGCATCACGGAGTCGTCTGCTGCAACGACAAGAACAACAATATCGGTGACGTTGGCTCCGCGAGCGCGCATCGTCTCGAATGCAGAGTGACCGGGAGTGTCGAGGAATGTAATCTTCTTGCCGCTCGCCAATGGCACGCTGAATGCGCCAATGTGCTGAGTGATGCCACCAAACTCTGTAGCGGCCACGCTAGTCGACCGCATATAGTCCAAGATGGTGGTTTTACCGTGATCGACATGCCCCATGATCGTGACGACGGGCGGTCTTGCAGGAAGCTCAGCATATTCTTCGGGAGTGACTGTAGGCGGAGGGTACAGATCGCCATCGTCTTCCTCGGCCTGGAAGATGGGCTCGAAGTTGTACTCTTGCGCGATAAGACCAGCGTGCTCTGCATTGAGGATGTGATCATTCTGCACTTCCTCGAATCCTAGCTCCTCCAGCTTGGTGACGAAGTCCTCTGTGCGCAACTTAAGCATAGACGCGAGATTCGCCACGCTGATGTACTCTGGAAGGTATATGGGTACTGGCTCCGCCTTTGCAACCTGTGCAGCCTTCTTAGCCTCAGCACGCAATCGTTTGCGCTCCGCTTTGCTGATGTGTCGATCAACGTCTTCCCCTTCATCCTCCTCTTCCCGCATAACGCGTCGTCCTTTACCGTAACCACCTCGACGCTTTTCGGGCTGTTCGTATCGATTCTTCACCTGCGGAACGTCATCATCCAGCTCAAACCTGCTGCGACGCCGATCCTGTCCTGCATTGCGAGCTCTTCGGTCTGCTTCTTCCTGGACTGTAGGTGGTTGCTCAACCTCCCGCCCAACAGCTGTCCTCTGTTTCCATTGCTCTGCCGCGTCCGCTATCGACTCGGGTCGTTGTGGCTGTTGGCGTCGTGATGGGGCTCGTTCGCGTAGAGTGGGCTTCGATGGGCATTCGAAGCTCTGATGGTCAGGCGAGTTGCAATGCCAGCACTTCCGTTGCGCATTGAGCTCTCTGTTGAGCGGCTGATACGGCTTCGAAGGCCGCTCGGTAGCAGTGTTGCCCAAGAGCTTTGATATCTCGTCCTGATCCAGCACGGTCCGCTTCGGAAACGTCCTCGAGGTTTGCAATGGTCGTGGCTCCTGTGTCCTGGCTTGTGCGTGCACTGCGGGCGGCTCGTTCCGCCGCCTCAGATGTCCAGAGCCGAACGCCGGCATGTCCACTTCCGGCCGCGAGTCCATCTTGACGCGGTACCTGCTTTGCGAAGCAGCGGCAGTAGGAGGGTTGTATGTCCTGAGGCCATCGCTGGCGGTCATTCGTCGGGGCTGAGGGGCATATCGGTCTCTGCTCTGGTTGCGCCCTGGAGCATCGAAGACACCACTGCGGTGCGGGGGCGGTCGATACGCGTACGGCTGAGGCTGATGCGGTGTCTGCGGCCCCAGAGATGATCGCATCCTCTGTGCCGGCGATGCGTAGCCTCCTTGCGCCTGCATTGGTGGTGCAAAGGCAGCGCTGGCGGCCAATGCCTGCCGCATTCGCTCCGCCTGCGTCATGTTGCGTGGCTGCTCGTTCGCATCTTTGTAGAGGATGCCTTCGGCCGACTGCGGAGCCCTGCTGGACGAGTTGAGGTGCCTGCGCTGGCCCGCGGTCGAACGAGCATAGGGCCCGTCTGCCACGGCGGGTTGACGAGTGGCGCAGAAGACGCAGACGTCGCGGGTCGACGATACCTGTGCCATTGTCAGTCTGCTGATACGCATCTATCCTCGAATCTGTACACACCCGAAGTCCGCGTGCTCTTCGCATTGTCGGTGTGGCGGTGCGTGGTGGTTGCTGTCGAGCTCGTCCAAAAGTTTTGGCGATTCGAGGTCCCCTCGGCCTCAATCCGCAACATCCTTGCATCCACATTTAGCGCACCGCCACTCAGCGCTGCCGCATTCGTCAGGCCACACCACACCACCATCATGAAGCCAGCAATTGTCCACCGCCGACAAGCCAGATGCTACGTCACGGCGGGGGTTTGGGTGACAAAGTGCTCAATTGGTCCAAGATAAAGATAGCATTCACTCTGGTATCCAAAGCGCCAGTGATCCAGAGGGCTTTGAGAGAGAGACCTTCCGAGCCAAGGTATTTACAGGAACAATATACACAATCATCAACTGCCGTAACCCATTACACTTTTGCGTTGAGCCCTTTCCAATAATGCCCTGGTATCATTCCCAAAATCCAAAATGCGAACATCACTCTGAAACCCGACGGCTGCCGTCGTCAATTTACATGACGTACAAGAGGTCGGTGTCTGGGATCAATGTTAGCATGCTGGATGCCTGTCGACAAAATCGGACTACTTACTCAGTGGATGACTGCAGCTCAGCTGCGGCTTCTGCTGATACTTGCCCTCAAGCTCGTCCCGAATGCTGTTCAGCAGCTGCACGTAGCTCTGGTTGGGGTTCTTGCGTAGTGAAGTGATGAAGGCCCACGACATGGCTCCGGTGGCTTCGCCGCCAATGGACGCGTCGGCTCTGCAGATTTATTAGCAACAATCCTTGCTTTAGGGACTGTATGACTTACGAAGTCTGCTGGTCCTTTGACCCGCTCCACATGATCACGTCCGCGGGGCTGGTTTTCGTCCTCAAATTCTTCTTCCTCACATCGTCACCGTTGATGGCTTTCTTGAACAGACTTGTCGCGCCACCAATCATGCTACCGATATCGCCACGCGCATAGCTTGAAACAATGCCGAGCAAGCCCTGGCCAGCCTCCTTGGCCAGATTCGGCTCCTTGAGCACACCCTGGGTGGAGTAGATGTATGGAAGGTCGAGCGCGGATCCGGAGTGGCAAGAATCAAAGATGGCTGTCAGTCGTACACCTGGCTGCAATGACCCAACCATGATGCGGTGCATCTCGTCGTCCACAATGTGGCCAGCAGTTCGGAAGTCGACAGGGTAAATGACCTCATCGTAGCCATCGTCTTCATCTCCGTCGAGATCTTTGGTCTGGCCGCCGTGCCCAGAGTAGTGGAAGAAGAGCGAGTCGTTGGGTCGCGCGTCCTTCACCAGCCAGTGCATAGCCCTCAGTATGTTCGCCTTTGTGGGCTGGCTCATTGGGTTTTGCTGGTCATCTGTAAGCGTCACCATATCCTCCCTCTTGTAGCCAAAGAACTCGTTCAGATATGTGCTCATGTTCTTCACGTCGTTGATGCAACCGCGGAGCTGTCCTCGTTGGCCGAAGTAGTT